TCTTCAAGAGGGCATTATTGAGGGTGCCCTGGAACAAGTATGAGTGGAGAGATTAAGGGTTTGTCAAGATACATTGCATACATTTTCAAAATAAAGATATGTATTTGCAACCAAGTGTTTTAATCTGTGGTTATTTACCCTCAAGCCACACCAGAGAAGTTAAAATATATTTTAGTGTCTGCCACATTGCCTTCTGGATTTCCTGTGCTAGTCTTTCTTGAAATTTGGACCTGCTCAAGAGAGGCAGTCCCCAGTCAACTCCTAGCCTCTGTTCGTATCTCCTGTCCCAGGCCAAGTGTGGCTGGGCGATTCTGCCCAGTCCTCCATTTTATGAAGAGCCCAGTTACTCGGAATACTGAAGACACATTCCTGGGCAGCCCCTCCAGCTTTGGTACGTGGAATCAGCAAGCCTATGTGTTACTAGTGTCAGTGTGCTTAGCAGACAGTTCGCTCCTCTAGGCCTCTCCAAATGGGAGTAGAGATGTTCAAATGCACAGAGCATTAGCATGAGCCCCCTTTTAGCTTGCTTTTCCATTCACCAAGCTACTCTTTGTCCTTGGAAAAGATGACGAATAGCCGGTTTATTTCAAGCATTATGTGCAGTGTATTTAAGCCCAGAGTCAACAGGAATGCTGGGCTCACCGAGGACAGTGAACTGAGCACCAGGAGGCAGACAGGGCTTTTGGAAAAATGCTAGGTTGAGCTCCCACCAACACATTTGTGTCCCTCCTTGTACATGACTAAGGCAGGTTTATTTCAGTGGGAAAAGGCAGTGCGGTCCCACACTCTTCCACACAGGCTCCAAGTTCAGACAGATGCTTTTGTGGTGCTAGAATATTCCCCTGCAACATCCCTTTAGCAATCTAGAAAGGCAAAACCGGAAGTGAACGGTGTTGGCCCTTTGTCAGTTTTGACACTGTAGAATCATCTGAAAAAGCATCAGTTAAGACCGTGCCTCCAGAAGATCTGGCTGTGAGGCATTTTCAGTGGTAGGAGAGGCCCAGCTCCCAGGGACAAGGGTGTCACCATCCATTGACTGTCTATAAAGCAGGCTGAGCAAGCCATGAGGAGCAAGCCAAGCAGCAGCAAACCCCCCTTCCCATGGCCTCTGCATCAGCTCCTGCCTCCAGGTTGCTATTCTGGAAGTTTCTGCCCTTTAAGGAATGATTATATGGAACTGAGTGAGTGAACTTTCTTCCAACTTGCTTTTCGCCATGGTGTTCATCACACCCGTAACCTGACTAAGACAACTGTCAGTATTCTAGAACAGGTTGATATGCATCGAATTTTGATTCTAGTGGAAGCTGGGTTTTATTTTTTCCCTTTTTGTTCAGCTGGTTATAGGTTAGAAGTACTTGTCTAGAGGAAACATTGAAAATGAGCTCTCCCATCAGATTGCCTGTAGGAAGTCTGTAGGGCATTTTCTTTGGTTTTTTGAAACAGGGTTTTCCTGTGACTTTGAAGGCTGTCCTGGAACTAGTTGTTGTATATGAGGCTGGTCTCAAACTCAGATCCACCTGCCTCTACCTCCCAAGTGCTGGGCATTTTCTTGATTAGGGATTGATAGAGGGCCCAGCTCACTAGGGATTGGACCTCCCCTGAGCAGGTGGCCTGGTTCACACCTGGCTGAACCAGTAGTGGCATGACTGGCCTACTTTCCCAAGATGAAACTTCACACTGTGGTTCAAGTCTACCCAGCAAGCCAAGCATTCCACGGGCTCATCCTCTCAGGTCAGCCCCATCCACAGCACCTTAACCTCCCTTACAGCTCCCTGCTTGGGCCACTCAGGTTTCACGCGCTTCTTTAACTCATCTTTTGCCCGTTTGGGGCATTTCAAGCACCGATTTTTGGTCCTGCCTGTACCCGTCTTCACCTTGGCCATCACTCATGTTAATGCTGTTCTTAGCCAGTGGCTGCATTTGTCAGAAACCCATTGAGCAGGAAAATGCTGTTAGGGTACAGATCTGAGGTGAACAGAAACACTCTGGGCTAGAAGCTGGCTTCCCCACTTAAGTCACCCAGGAGAAACTGGGCTTGTTTGAGCCTTTACCCTGACACAGGGCCCTTCCTGACCATACACCTTCTTGGTCTATACCGCTCCTGGATCCATTTTGGCCAGCACTCTGTACTGAGCCTGCACCCAGGAGTTGGTGCTTGCATTTCTCCAGAAAACTGGCTCTTAGAACACTCAGGAGCAACTTAAGCCTGTAAGAGGTAGTAGATACAATCTTAGAGTCCATGTTGGTCCCACATATTACTCGGCCCCCCACACCCTTTTCTTCTCCTAAAGAGAGGTATGTGACCATCTCAGAACTGGGAACGCCGCTCTGCCATGAGCCCAGGAGAACAGTCAGGAAACTACTGCTTCTTGAACAATCCTCTTAACATATCGCTGCTGCCCCCATTTGGAACACTCTTCAGAGGAGTGCCTGAAGACATCTGGCTCGTGGACCTCCTTTTTGGCGTCCCTATTAGCCCAGCTGATCCTATTACTTCTAAGGAACTCTTTAGCAGTCTACTCCCAGAAGAAATACTAGGAAGCTTAAGATGTAAGAAGCCAGTCTCCTCTGAAGACCTTGTGCCTGAATCCAGACTATTTGTTCTTCTAAATGGAGAAACTTGGTAAGCTTTCCCATGACTGGATAACAGGAACTCCGGTTATTTGGCTTTTGGGGGATTGGACACTAAGCCACCCTCCCCTCAGAACCACCACTAGTTTAAGCCCATTTGAACTGGTTTTTAGTTTCAACTAGAAAAGCTCAAAGCTACTGTGAGTTTAATAGGTCGCCCACCATTCAGTCTTCGATTGGCTTCTCCAATGTAGAGTAAGATTTTTTTTTTTAGACAAACTGGTGTTTCAAGTGGGGTAGAATAGCTACCTAGGAGTTGAAGGAAATGCCTTCAACTCTTAACCTCAGAGTTATGAAAAAGCCTTGTTCTGAGTGAAAGTCAGAGGCAAGGAAAGGGAGATTCGGGATTCCCAGGAAACTCTAAGTGTGCTAAGAGTCAAGCAGCAGGCAGGCAGGCACCATCAGCCAGATGCGACGCAGCGACAAGACTGCTGTAACCCCCGCCTTAGAAGTCACCAAGATAGGACTTTACCTCTTTAGCTACGCTTTCCCGCGCCTCCCCCAGTTCTTTCCCAGGCCTCTAGAGCTCTAGAGAGCTTCCCAGCACCCCTTACCCCAGTTCCCTTTTTTCTTTTAGTTTACATAATGATCCCACTCCAGCAGAAAGTGACACCTTAGCAGGCGTCCAGAGCAAAGACAGAGCAGGGTTTTATAGCATGTGGAGACTCATGCCCACCCCTGCTCCCAAAGCATTCTGGGCGAGCAGCCCAGCCTCTGGTTTCTCATAGGTTCTCCTCTCCCTCAGTTAGCAGCTAGATCCCACCCCTATCCTTGCAAGTCACCAATAGCAGTAAAGCCAGCTGGATGGCCGGATCTACCACGCCCTCCAACGCCAACACCTGCTTCCCATATGTAGTCAGCCCTTAATTGAAACGCAGGTCAGCCTGTAATCATTAAACCAGGACGCTTTTCCCTGTGCTTCTGTGCACAGCTGGCGTGCCCCAAATCCCAGAATATCAGCGTTTCTCTCCTCATTTTATGCCTCTAGGCCTTGGGGAAGGGTTTCAGAGTATGGAGTTTAAGCAGCTGCAAGAGCTGTGTCAGCTAAGAAAATGTGAGTTACTTTTTTTCTAAGATACTGTTCCTGATAACTTGCTGTGATGATCCCAGGATTTCCTGCTTCTCCTTTGTGGGGTGGGGGTGGGGGTTTCTTTGGCCCCAAATAAACATTATTTCCTGGCAAGGGGACAGAGTTAAAGACAAGTGCCTACTACTTGATTCAGCACGCCTCTTCTCCACCGCCTCGGTGGAATGGTCCCGAGATGCGGGCGTCACATCACCAGTAGTGCTCTCGCATGGACCAGCTTAGGGACTTGGGCTCCCACGTGCTCCAAGGCTGCAAGGACACGACAGAGTGTGGGATGACCTTTTCCAGGAGTGTCAGCTTGGGAGGGTGGGCCACAGTGCCAAGGGACTTGGAAAATGAAGGGTGGCATCCAGTGTTCCATGACTGGTGGCGGGTGAACTTGACTAAAGCCTCCTTCCCTGGGGTCAGATGCTCCCAGGACACAAAAATGTGACCCTTAGGCACCAGGTGCTCGAGGTTGTCTGATAGTAACTTGGCAGCTGGGTCTGTGAGCACTGCTTCCTTTCTGCCAACTCACTCTGAGTGTCCTTCATTTTCCTAACTCCTGAACTCCTGCTGTGCCCCCAGTCAAGAATGCTGCTTATCTCCTCAAATGAAACCAAAGACTCTAAGGCTGAGGTGTGAAAATTTTGAGGAAGACCGCTCAACTCCGTGTGTTCATCACGGGGTGACATGAGACCCTGGAAGGCCACCTTGTCCTTGCTCCGTCAGGAGCTTGTCCCTGACTCTGCTCCATGCCGGCACCACTGGCAACTCCAAATAGCACCTGCTCTGTTTGGCTGCTCTCACTTTTTTTTTTTTTGGTTTTATGAGACAGGGTTTCTCTGTATTGTTTTGGAGGCTGTCGGTCCAGCCTGGTCTCGAACTCACAGAGACCTGCCTGCCTCTGCCTCCCGAGTGCTGGGATTAAAGGTGGCTGCTCTCACTTTTGTCTATGCCATTTTATAAGTTTCTAGAAGGCAAGATCTTTGCATGCTTCTAGAAACTTAGTTTTTAATTTTCCTGCGTGTGTGTGCTTCATGTGCATGTGCGTCTGTGCACTACGTGTGTGCCTGGTGCCTGAGGAGGTCGGCAGAGGGCATTGTGTGGCCTGGAACTAGAGTCACAGATGGCTGTGAGCTGCCAGGTGTTGGGAATCAAACTGGAAGAGACACAGGAAAGCAGTGGCTATTGTGATGGCTGCTGTTGGTTATCAGCTCGACTCCATCTGAAATCAACTGAAATCCAAATGACTGGGCACACCTGCAAGCCAGGTTTTCTTAATGACATCATTTGAAGCGCTGGACCAACTTCTAATTCCAGCCTTCAAGGTGGGGAGATCCATCTGTGGAACGGGCCACACTTTCTGCTGGCAGCCTACAGAGAGGACAAGGACGAAGGAAGCTCGCTCTCTGCCTGCCTGCTCTCACGCTTGCTAGCAAGTCCATTCTTTCACTGGCATCAGGGCCCACTTCTTGGGGATCCTGGCATACGCAGAGGGTCAGATGAGACATCATCCAGCCTTGTGGAGTGATTGGCTACTGCATCCTTGGACCTTCCATTGGTAGACATCTGTTGTTGAACTAGCTGAACCACAGCCTGTAAGTGATTCTAATAAATTCCCTTTCTATACATATATAGATTTCATTCCACAAGTTCTGTTCCTCTAGAGAATATTAATTAATACAGTGCTTTTGAAAATCCTTTGGTCTTTGCTTGTGGTGATAACATTGGACTAAGTCCTGGAATTCGCTGAGCTCCAGAAACAGCACAGCTTCATACAATTGGCTTAAAAGATCGGGAAGAGCAAATTGCTGGAGGGTGGAGTAAAAAGAGACTAGAATCAAGAACTAGTCATGTTTTCCCTTGTCCTGAGCCCTGTCCATCACAGCCATGAGTCAACTGGGCACTTGGGAGGTGTTTCAGTGCAGTAGGAAAACGTGCATTGCCAGTGGGCTTTGATTTCTCCACAGGAAAGTGCGAAGATTACTCACTCATGACCTCTTAACGAGCTAACCCACACAAAGCACGGGAATGATGGTCATGCAGTAATTCTTAACTTGTTCTGTAATTTCCTTGGTTAGGTAATACACAGTCACTAAAATTCAACTGCTAACATTTACTGTCCTGGTTAATTTTGTGTCCACTCAACACAAGCTAAAGTCATTTTGGAAGAGAGAACCTCAACTGAGAATGTCCCCACCAGATTGGCCTGTGCGTTTTCTTGACTGATGACTGATAGGGGAGACCCCAGCTCACTGTGTGGGGTGCTCCTCTCTGAGTAGCTAAAACTGTCCTCTTGGCCTCTCACCAGGCCTGGGATCAGTTCTAGGAGCTAGAGGGAGGTTGTGGTGGCTGCCTTCTCTGAGTAGCTAAGGTCTGAAAGTCAGGAGCTGGGCTGGGTGCTCAGGCTGACAGGCCCTGGGGTAAGCTCCCTGGTTACAGGTGACCCAGGTAGGGATGGCTGTGAGTACGTGCCCATCAAAGACCTAGAAAAATGCTGAGAGGCTGTTCCCCTCCCGTGATATAACAGATTCTGTACCTGGCAATGTCTTAAGTAGCAAAAGTCACTTACCCTAAAAGACGGTTTGGCTGTCACCCCTCTAGGAAGGCCTCCATGGTACCTGTCATGCACACACTGGTGCACCCTCCAGCTGAGCATCCTCTAGAGCCTCTTCTCTCCATGTACCAACTATCAACATTTCCCAGTGAGTAGCTGAATATAACAGTGTTTGGTAAAGGCAGCAATATCTGTATTAATTACTTCAGCACTTCCCATGATCCCTGGCACATAGTAGAGCTCCATAAATAACAGGGGACACAAAATGAATGTTTAATGCTGAGGGAGGATAGTGGGAGGGCGTGGGGTATGACAGGGCATGGGGGTGGCTGCATTACCTGCAGCCTGCTGAGATTCTGGGAGCCTCCAGGAATGGGGAACAGGCACCGATGGCTAAGCTGACTTTAGCAAGGCCCTGGTGCTGTTACGATTGGCATGACTCACACCACTCAGTAGTCCCATTGGCATGATTCACACCACTGGGTGCCCCATTGGCATGGTTTACTTGTAAAATGTTGTGCACTCTTATCTCTCTGGAACCGTAAGCCCAAATAAACTCTTCTTTCTGTAAATTGCCTTGGCCATAGAGTTTTTATCATAGCAATAGAAAAGTAACTAACACAAGGGTGAGAGCTGAGTCTTGCTTCCGACCCCGGGTTCTCTCTGCTTGATGACCCACTGAGATGTGAGCAAGACGCCTCATACTCCTGTTGCCATGCCGTGTCCACCGTGATGGACTGGGTTCCTTAGAACTGTGAGACAAAATAAACCGAGTGATGAGAAAAGTGTTGGGACCAGCCAACCTGCTCCAGTGTGCCTGAAGAGGGGAGTGAGGACTGAGGAAAAAAGACAAAAGTCAGACGATAGTCAGGAGGGCTCTCGGGGAATACTGCAGCATCCCCAAGTTTATTACTCGTAGCCCGTCTGCACCCCAAGCAACAGGGGAGGGCAAAAGACTTACCATGATACAAGGAACAAAAAAGTGTAATTACCTCCTTAATTCGCAAAACATTTAGTAACAATGCCCTAAGTCAGACATCCTGTTATTTGGTCTTGGCCAAACATCCTGTTGTTTAACCTTGAAGATCAATAATAGGTTTGAACTCTCAGACCTAAAGTCAAGATGGAACAGAGACAATACTGTGGGCTCCCACAGAAAAGTTACTGATACAGCCATATAATAGTTCCTAAAAGGGGTAATTACCGATGCCCAGAGGGACAAACAGGTATCCTAAGACCAGACCCAGCTGATCCCAACTCACTAGATGCTCACTCTGCCTAGGTTTTATCCATGGGCCCTTGAGGAGGAGAAGGGGTTGTAATCCCTACCCCATCACACACACACACACCACATGTTTTCTCTGGGGAAGAAAATCAAAAGGCCACAACTAAATGTAGGGAGAGGACCCTGGGAGGGGACTCATCACCTGATGGCTTCTACTCCAGTTTAATTATTTCGTTACTAATTAATGGGGTCATTACTGCATTTCAAAGAGAAAGAACTATGATTAAAGGTTAATGCCATTGTTGCAATGCATTCCACCTGAAATTACATAATAAAAATGTCTGGAGTGTTTAATTGAACCTATAAGTAACAATGTAATTACACTCAATGTATGTGCCTCTGTGTCTATTTGCTCCTCTCTGGGGTGCAGAGAGCCCCACCTGGGCCAGTTAAAGGAGAGCATGGAGATTTTCTAAAAACTTTCTCCAGCCCTCTAATCTCTGTTATGTTCACATCCCCAGGGATAAATGATAGGTGACCTGGCCACTGTACATCTGCACCTTCCCTTCTTCGGTGTAGCATGATTGTGCGTGCGTGTGTGCGTGCGTGCGTGTGTGTGTGTGTGTGTGTGTGTGTGTGTGTGTGGTGCATGCAGGTATGTGGGAGCCAGGGGAACACCTTGGCTGTGGTTCCTCAGATGTTGCCCATCTTGTTTTATTGACAGGCTTTCCTGCTGGCCTGGAGCTTGCTCATTCAGCTAGGCTGGCTGACTGGTCAACAGGGGCCAGGGACCAGCCTGTCTCTACGTCTACAGTGCTGGAACAAGCACACGCAGCAGCACCGGGCTGCTCTCCATGGCTCTGGGGATGGATCTCAGGTCCCCCACGCTTACCTTACCAATGAGCCGTCCCCCCACACCAGTGTGACAGGTTAGAACACTGTCAATACTTGCCACCTTCTGTGCTCTACGGGGACTTCACTAGCTCATGCCGTGCAATGGCGAGGCTTCAGGTGGCTTTATAGATTCCTTCAGCAATCTCTCCCATCCCTAGGAGAGACTTAATTTAAAACCACTAAAATCCCCATTATTTTAGTTAGCATTTGAGGCAGCCCAAGGAGCAAGAAAGTGCCTGTCTCATTGCCACAGCTGATACTGAGGTGAGAATGAATGGGAGTGAGTTAGTCTTTGTTTTAAAAAGGAGGCATTTCAAGAGAAGGAACAGTATTCGTGAAGGATAGGGGGTCATAAAGGAAAAACATTGGTTTGGAGAATCAGGGTCCCTTGGCAAATCTGATGTGACCAGGCATAGGCAGCCGCAACTTCCTCAGCCCCTCCTCCTCCTCCACTCCCAGTTACTTAGTTCTTAAAAGATGCTTTTTCCTTGCCATCATTTTTCTTTATTCTTTCTTGATAATACCCATTCTGATTGCGGTATCGTGGCATATCAAACTAGTTTCAATTTGCATTTCCTTAATGTTAAGGATAGTGAACATTTTTAAACAACAAATATAAAAGATAAAGACTATCACATTGAAGCTGGACAAGGCAAACCAACAGAAGGAAAAGAGCCCCCAGGAGAAGGCCCGAGAATAACACCCCCTCATTCACACACTCGGGAGCCCTTAAAAGTGAAAGCCATGCTGTGACAGAGGAATGGTGCAGACCATGTAGGTCCTGCGCTGGCTGCCTCAGTCGCTTTGAGATTATACGAGATTTGTGCATCTGATCTTAGAGGGCCCTGTCCTGGTGTCCTCCATCCCCTCTGCTTCCCACACTCCTTCTGCCTCCTCTTCTGTGGGCTTCTATGAGCTCTGAGGGGAGAGATTTCATGGAGTCATCACATTTAAACTGGCATGTTCCAAGTCTGTCTGTCTGCCTCTGAAATGTCTGGCTGTGTGTCCTGTATAACATAGTATCATCAATATTGTTACTTATTATTATTATAATCCCGTCAGTATTGGTTTAGCCCTAGGTCTCTGGCCTAGCCAGTCTCTGGTTCTTGATCACCCAATCAGTGTCAGGTATGGGTTTCATCTGTGGAGTGGGACTTAAGTCAAAGCAGACATTGGTTAACTATTCCCACAAGTTTGTGCCACCATTGCACTAGTGTATGTGCAGGCAGGACAGATTGTAGATGAGTTTTGTGGCTGGGTTAGAGTTTGTTTCCTTTGTGGTAGACTGCAGAGAACCTTCCCATACCAAAGACACCAGAACATTGGGGTGAAGGCTCTATGTAGGCACCAGGTCCGCTGACCTCCCCGTGTTCAATGAGTTGGTGCTGTCCTCAGCAATGGGGCCTTGATGTCATGTTGTGGAGACCAACCTGTTGTCTTTGCAGCAGGCTGAGTTGTTTGGGATTTCCAAGAGACCCACTTGACTATCATCTCAATTGGAAGCAACCCAATACCAGTACTGGAAGCTTCACTTGGTGACAAGAGATGACCAGTGGGGACTTGTTTCCCTTGTTATTTGGAGACTTCATTAGGATCCCAATACTCAGGCATTTTAGGAAGTTCCCACTGCACTAGGGGAAGTTTCTCCCCTTCCCAGCTGATGATCCCATTCTTATTCCCTGCTCTATCCACCCATAAAATCATTCTATTTCCCCCTCCAATGGAGATCCATGCTTCACCCCAGTCCCTTCCTCTATACCTAACCTCTTTGGGTCTATGGTGTGTAGCTTAGTTATTATTTCTTTAATGGCTAATATCCACATATAACTGAATACCTACCATATTTATCTTTCTGGATATGGGTTATCTCACTCAGGATGAGTGAAAATTTCATGATGCCAATTTTTAACAGTTGAATAATGCTCCATTGTGTAAATGTACCACATTTTCTTTATCCTTTCTTCTGTTGAGGGACATCTGGGTTGCTTCCAAGTTCTAGATAATATGAATACAGCATCAATGAACACGGTTGAGAATGTGTCATTGTGGTAGGATAAAACATCCTTTAGGTATGTGCCCAAGACTGGGATAGCTGTGTCTTGAGGTAGACAGACTCCCATCTTTCTGAGGAAACACCAAACAGATTTCCACAGTGCCTGTACAAGTTTGCATTCCCACCAGCAATGGAGAAGTGTTCTCCTTTACTCCACATCCTCTCCAACAAGAGCTGTCACTTGTGTTAATGATCTTAACCATTCTGATAGGTGTAAAATGGAATCTCAAAGTAGTTTTGATTTGCACTTCTCTGCTGGCTAAGGATATTGAAGATTTCTTTAAGTGATTCTCAGCCATTTGAGTTTCGTCTATTAATAATTCTCTGCTTAGATTTGTACCACATTTTTAATTGGGTTATTTGTTCTCCTGATACATAGTGTCTTGAGTTCTTTACATATTTTGTATATTAGTCCTCTATTGACTATGGATTAAAAAAAAACTTTTCCCATCTGTAGGCTGCTACTTTGTCCAATGACAGTGTCTCTTGCCTTATAGAAGCCTTTGACTGTTCTGAGGCCCTGTTTATTAATTGTTGATCTTAGTGTCTGTGCTAAGTGTTCTGTTCAGAAAGTATTTTCCTGTGCCAATGAATAGTTCAGGTGAAAAAAACATCTCTCTTTTCTATAGGTTGTATATCTGGTTTTATGCTGAAGTCTTTGATCCATTTGAAGTTGAGTTTAGTGCAGGGTGATAAATATGGATCTATTTGTATTTGTTTATATACAACTGTCCAGTTTGACCAGCACTGTTCATTGAAGATGCTGCCTTTTTTCTTGTGTGTATTTCTGCCTTTTTCAACAAAAAATTATGCTCCCACTGGTGTGTGGATTTATGTCTGGATCTTCAGTTTGATTCCATTCATCAACCTGTCCTTTTCTATGCCAATACAATGATTTTATTACAATAACTCTATAGTACAACTTGAAATTGGAATGGTGAAATCGCCAGTAGTTTTTTTTTTAATTCAGGATTGTATTAGCTAAGCAGTTTTTGTGTTTCTATATGTAGCTGAGAATTGCCCACTCAAGATCTATGAAAAAATCATGTTGGAATCTTGTTGGGGATGGCATTGAATCTGTAGATCACTTTCGGTAGGATGGCTACTATGTTAATCCTACTGATCCATGAATGTGGGACATCTTTCCATCTTCTGATACCTTCACTTTTTTCTTCAAAGTCTTGAAATTTTTATTCATACAAGTCTTCCACTTGCTTGGTTATAGTTACCCAAAGATATTATATTATTTGAAGCTATTGTGAAAGGTGTTGTTTGCCTGATTTCTTTCTCTGTTCATTTGTCATTTGTATATAGGAGGGCTACTGATTTTTGTCAGTTAATTTTGTGTTCCAGTTGCTTTGCTAAAAGTGTTTATCAATGTAGGAATTCCCTAGTAGAATTTTTAGGGTAAGTCATATATATCATATCATCTGGAAATAAAGATAACTTTGACTTCTTCCTTTCCAATTTGTAGCCACTTGATCTCTTCCAGTTGTCTTATTGCTCTAGCTAAGGCTTCAAGTACTATACTGAACAGGTATGGAGAGAATGAACAACCTTGTCTTGTTCCTGATTTTAATGGAGCTGCAGTAAACTGCCTCTATTATGTTGAGGCATATCCCTTGTGTCCCTAATCTTGCCAGGACTTTTATCATGAGGTGGTGTTGGATTTTGTCAAAGGCCTTTTCTGCATCTAATGTGATGATCATGTGGGGGTTTTTATTTCAGTTGGTTATATGGTAGATTATGCTTACTGATTTTCATTATTGAACCATGAATTTATAAGCTTTCTGTTGTTTCTCTTGTTGTTGGTATTCAGTTTTAACCCATGGTGGTCAGATAGGATTCAGGGAGTTATTTCAATTTTCTTGTATTTGTTGAGCCTGGTTTCATGTCTGAGTATGTGATCGATTTTGGAGAAAGTTCCATGAGTCGCAGAAGAAAATGGTATATTTTTTTGTGTTATGGTGAAACATTTTGTAAACATCTATTGAGTTTCATTTGGTTTATAATTTCTGTTAGCTCTAGCATTTCTCTGTTTAAGTTTTTGTGTAGATGACCTGTCTATTGGTGATAGAGGGGTACCGAAGTCTTCCACTATCAGTGTGTGTCAATATGTGATTTAAGCTGTAGTAGTGTTTCTCTTACAAACTTGTGCTCTTGTGTTTGGTGCATAGATGTTAAGAATTGAAATATCCTATTGGTTGATTTTTCCTTTGAGTATGTAATGTGCTTCCCTATCTCTTCTGATTAGTTTTGGCTTGAAGTATTTTTTTTAGATATTAAAACAGTTGAACAAGCTGGCTTCTTGGGTCCATTTACTTGAAATATCTTTATTCACCCCTTCAACCTGAGGTAATGTCTATCTTTGATGTTAAGGCATGTTTCTTGGATGTAGCAGAAGGATGGCTACTGTTTTCCTATCCATTCTGTTAGTCTGTGTCTTTGGAGGGAGGAAATTGAGACCATTAATATAGAGAGATAACAATGACTAATGATTGTTGATTCTTGTTATATTGTTGGTGGTGGCGGTGGCGGCAGCAGTGGCTGTGTGTGTGTGTGTGTGTGTGTGTGTGAGAGAGAGAGAGAGAGAGAGAGAGAGAGAGAGAGAGAGAGAGAGAGTGAGTGTGTGTGTTTCCCTTCTAATTTTTCTGATCTGAGCTGTGCTTTCATGCGTATTCCGTTTTCATGCTTGTAGTTAGACTCCTTAGGTTGGGCTAGAGTTTTCCTTCTAGCACTTTCTGTAGGGTTGGATTTGTAGATACCTATTGCTTAAATTTGACTTTATCATGCTATATCTTATTTTCTACATCTGTGGTGAATGAAATTTTTTCTGGGTGTAGTAATCTGGGCTGGCATCTGTTGTCTGAGTCTGTAGCATGTCTATCCAAGCCCTTTTGATTTTCAGTCTCCATTGAGAAGTCAGGTGTAATTCTAATAGGTCTGCATTTATACATTATTCTGTCTTTCCCCCTTGTAGTTTTTAATGTTCTTTGTCTGTACATTAAGTGTTTTATGATTACATGCCAAGGGGACTTTTTTCTTGCTCAATTGTTTGATATTCTTTATGTCTCTTGTACCTTTACAGGCATCTCCTTCTTTAGGTTAGAGACTTCTATGGTTTTCATAAAAATATTTTCTGGGCCTTTGGACTAGGTTTCTTATCTTTTCTCTAATTCTGTTATTCTTAGATTTGGTCTTTTCATAATGTCACAGATTTCCTGAATGTTTTGTGCCAGAAGTTTTTAGATTCAACATATATTTTGACCAGTGTATCCATTTCTTCTATTGTATCTTTGATGCCTGAGATTTTTTCTTCCATCTCTTGTATTCTGTTGGTGAATATCTCCTGTGTAGTTCCTGTTCAAATTCCTAAATCTTTCATTTCCAGAATTCCCTCTGTTTGGGTTTCCTTTATTGTTTCTACTTCCATTTTCAGGTCCTGAACAGATTTATTCATTTCCTTCCACTATTTCTTTGTGTTTTCCTGGATTTCTGTGGAACCTCCAATTGTGGCGCCAGCGCCACAAGCAACTCCAAGGTATCAGGAAAAGAGAGACCAGACGTACAAACTGTTTGAACTAAGAGAATGCATGTGTTGCCTTTATTGCCAGGAGAGTGTGTATGTGTGTGTCTTCATTGCAAGTGCTAAGAGGTCTCCCTCTTGTAAGAGGGAGGACCTTTATATACAGGTTTACAGCACAGTGGAAAAACCCCAGGTAGAAGAGATCGTTGTTTTCCTCCTGCTAGATGTTGATGTCAGAGGGTCAAGGCCAGGGCAATAAGCCAGGACTAGAAAACAGAAAGCACTTGGACTGGAAAACAAGTTGCCCTTGTAGGCTGACCAGCAACTCACAGAGACCCCATGGGGCTGGGGCCCAACAGATTTCTTTCAGGGGTTTATTCATTTCCTCTTTAAGGACCTGCATCCTCTTCATACAGACTGTGTTAAGGTTTTTTTTCTTGCTTTTCAGCTATGTTGGAATATTCAGGCCTGCTGCGGTAGAATAGCTGGGCTCTAGTGGAGACATGTGGCCTGGGATGTTACTATGTTCCTGTGCTCATGTCTGGGCAGCTGGGATTCAGGTGAACATAGCTCTAGTGCTGATTTCTGGGTTAGTTGTTGTTCGGTGGATGTGTGTGTGTGTGTGCCTGTGTGCATGCATGTGTGTGCGTGCGCGTGCATGTATGTGAGTGCATTTTGTGTGTGCATGTGTGCACATGCATGTGTGTCTGTGTGTGAGCATGCATGTGTGTGCATGCATGTTTGTGCGTGTGTGTGCATGTATGTGCATATGTACACATGAATGTGTGTGTGCACTTGAGGACACGTGCAGGGGGAGGATGACACATGCACACAGATTATACAGCTAGCCATAGATGCTGTGTGTTCATGATCGCAGGGGCCACATCAGGCCAGGAGACAATGTTTCCCTCTGGTCCTTTCCTCCCTCACTCCAACCCTCTCTCCCTCCCTCCAACCCTCTCTCTCTCCCTCTTCCTCCCTCTCCCTTCCTTCCCTTCATTTATTTTAGGGGAGAGCACAATGCAGTCCTCACTACATCAAATTGTGCAGTCAAGTTTCCTGCATTTGCGGAAATCTCAGGGGTCAGCACATCCAGAGTGCAATGGATAAGTCTTACCCTGCCAGGTAAGTGTGTGGGCTCTCACAGTCCTCCTGCCCCCTTCTGTGATGCTCCCTTTGTAAAGGGATTATCGGTGCCTTGTTCAGGTCAGAACACTCCATGAACACTTCTCAGAATGCTGACCAGTTATGAGTTTCTGCATCAACTGTCACGCTCTGAAAAAGCTTTCTGGGGGACAGTGAAATGGCTCAGCAGTTGCTGTTTTCAGAGAGAACCACAGTTTAGTTCCCAGCACCTAGGTCAGGTAGCCTGTAACTCTAGCTCCAGAGGATCTGATGCCCTCTTCTGGCCTGCATGGAAACTACATATACATACACAAGTAAAAAGCAAAATAAACTTTCTAAAAAGTTTCTCTGATCAAAGATGAAACACACACTGAGAAGCAGTTTGATTCCATGTCTGTCACGCAAAAGCAATCTTTTCAAAGATGTCTTTGAGAAGTCAATGCAATCTTTGTGATTATAAATTATTATTTGGTATATATTCCTGCCCACTTTAAACAAGAGTTTCTTCAAAAACGGCTAACCTAGGATGACTGGGTGTGGTTTGTCTTTGTTTTTAGTAGATCTGCTTCTGTGGGTAAATGAATCTGAGAGATTAGACTCATGTATGCCCTTGGCTTCTCTTTACCTCTGTCTATATATACAGTATTCTAGAGTTCCCCATAGAGAACTCTAGTTTTTCCCTATGCAACGAAGAAGCTTTTCTCCCCAAATAGTGGTTTTGTTTGGGGCACTCATCTTTATTCTAAATTTGGTCAGCTGGCCCGACTTCCCGGGCATCAGCAGTACCCCTGAGGTCCTGTGGGAGGCTTAGCCAGCCTCTCTAGCTCACTGGGCAATCACATCCCTTTGTAATGAGCACTTACATGTTTTGGCCCACAATCCCCCAGTTTCACCCTTGAGTTCCTCTACTCCTCTCTGGTGAATGCCATCTGCTCCTGGTGATTTATCTACATTTAGTTTGTCAATTAAGTAGAAAATCACTTGCACATCTACTGCCCTGTTGGTTTCAGAACAGTCTGGAAGAGGGACCACTATAGCATCACATACGAACGCAGAACCTGAGCTTCTTGAAGAAACCTCGGTCTCTATATCAGATTCACTGATTAAAGCAACAATGATAGAGCACCTACTATATATTTTCCAGAATATTCTGTTGTGGAATAATCTTTTGTATGCTGTGAGGATGCTTCACTCTGATTGGTTTAATAAAAAGCTGAATGTCCAATAGCAAGGCAGAGAGATAGAGAACAAGAAAGACAGCAGGAAGAGAGTAATAGCCACGAGCCACATGGCAGCACATGCACTAATAGAAATGGGCTAATTTAGGTTATGAGCAAGGAGGAACAAGCCTAAGCTATAGGCCAAGCTTTCATAATTAATAAGAAGTCTCCACATCATTACTGGGGAGCTGATGGTCCCGTTGAACAATTTGCCTACAATATTCTTAAGAAGGAAGGATTAGGTGGGGAGACAGGAAGGAAAGATGGGAGTGACTGAGGGCAATATGGAGAGTGTAAGGAAGGGAACTGGGGTGAGCGGTGTCTAGGAGAAATGGTGAATGGGAGAGAGGGAAAGTAGGAAGACTACGGCCCTGGTTAGAGTGAAGGGTGAGGAAGAGATGCAAACAGCTGCCCGGAGTCTCAGATGCTCTTTGTTCTTTCTGTGTTGATCTTCCTGGCACTCGTCTTGGAGAGCAGGTACCGGTGACACTGTGTGGGCTTGCTCTGCCCTGAAATCACTATTACCCCAAGACAGACATCTGTGGACCAATCAGATGCTTCTCTCTAAGCCCGTGGTTCTCAGCCTTCCTGATGCTGTGACCCTTTAACACATGTTGTGGTGACCCCAAACCATAAAATTACTTCTTGCTACTTCATAGCTGTGATTTTGCTACTGCTGTGAATCATAGTAAGAATATCAGATATGCAGGACAGCTGATATGTGGCCCCCGTGGGAGTCGCAACCCACAGTTGAGAACCACTGCTCTAGAGTCTGCCTCTCAGAAGGGCGGCAGAAACCACTGGTCCCCTGTGAAAGGAGATCTAGATTGAGCCCGTGGTCTGCAGCAGGGGAGTGGGAAGGAAGGGGCGTGGGGGAAGTGCCGCATAGGGAGAGGCTAGGAATTGAACAGAAGTCTCCCAGGGCTGGAGAGGCGGCTCTGCGGTAAAGCGCTGCCCCTGCAGCCACCAAGCCTGAGGACCTGACTTTAATCCCCAGGACCTGTGTGGTGGTCGCAGAGCACTGACGTCAGAAATCTGACGTCCACATGTGTGCCATGGCTCACACATGCAAGCCCACACACACACACACATGCACGCACGCATGCACGCACACACACACACATGCACACACACGCACACATGCGCACACGCACACACACACACACATGCACGCACGCACGCACGCACAAACACATAAAAAATAAGAAAATGGATTTGTTCTTAAAAATCATCTGTGATGACCCATGCCTGGGATTTTAGTGCTGGGGAGGTGGACACAGGAGGGGATCCCTGGGCCTATGCGAAGGTCTGTTGCTGTTTAAGATATTTGCTGCATACACCCCACAAGGAAAGGAAATTCATCCCAACCCCACGGACAGGCTTGTTCTGTGTCTTTGGGGGTCCCTGCCTAAAGCATGGTATAAATCCCTGCTCTGTTGAAATTCTGGCTCTCTACATACTTGATTTCAGACACAAATGTGAGCCAGAAAAACCCCAGTGCTTCCAGGCAAGTTCCCTGAGCCAGCTCTCCTTGCAGAGACGATGACTCGGATAGCATTGGCTCCCTCCATCAACCTGGCTCATACGATGAAGGCGGCTTAGAGCAGAGAGGCTCGAGTGGGTAGTTGGAAGGTCCAGCAAGCAGGACATAATATGTGTTTACAACCAGAACTGCCCCACTGAACATAGGGCATTGTGGGGAAATGTAAGTGTAAGCCATGCACATTTCGGGACTGTTTGTTACAGCAACATTTATAACTCATGCCTGACTGATACATGGTGGGTGTTCCTGGAGTGAGACAAATCAGGAAAGGTCAAGGGCGAGAAGTCAGCTGTGCAGATGGCCTTGAGTGGAATAGGATAACTCACAGAAGGATGTGAACAGCTAAGAGATGGGCTGGAAATTACAGTGAGAGTAGACAGACCTTGCTTGTGGACCCCGTGGACTCTGAAGCCAAATCCCCTTTGCTTTAGTTTTCTCCTTTATAAGAGCAGTTGATAAAGCAGCGCCTGGTTACAGGGTTGTTAGGGCTGAATGAGCCACCAGACGCATTACCCACTTATGCTCAGCACAGCGCCCTGGCCACAGGGACCCTCAGGATGCAGTGGTCTCCTCCATTCTTTCTAACACTCCCATCCCGCAGAGACAATCCTGAGCTCTTCAGGGGCTCAGCACTCACGGGAGAGCCTCACCACTGACTGCAGCCAGCCAGGGAGAAGGCAGGGTCTGAGAGCCATGGGCATGAGTGGCCGGTGACAGGCGTTTAATTCACATGTAAGCCAAAACAGTTGTTAGTAAATTAAACATTGTTTGTAAATGAGCCTCCAGTTAAGATTCACTAATTACACCACCAACTCGATTGTCATGCAATTTATATACAATTACCCCAGAACAAATATTTAATTACTTTCCCTGTAATATGATGGGAAAACAGAGAGTTAATAAGACAATGGCCACGTTGTCTTGTCTACTGGTGTGACATGGCTTTAATGATCATGAGGAGGAGATCAGGAAAGGAAAGCCCTTCTTGTCTGTGATGGTGGATGTCCTGGTGGCTGGAAGAGACCTGTAGTGGAGGATTTCCCTGAAGGGCATGGTCTAGAATCCTCCTGGAGACGGCTGAGCCTGGGCCTGCACCATGGCTCAACTTCTCCCTCCACCCATCCTTCTCTAAACACACATCCTGCTGTTCTGGAAAATTCTATCTACAACTGGAAAAGTGAAGGCATCTGACTCCCACATGAGCAGAGGCTGAAGGGAGGTGAGAGGTGAGGGCTAACCTTGGCTAATGGGGAAGAAAAGAACACAGTGAGGACCCCACAGGAGGAAGCCTCGAGACTCTGGGAAAAGAGCAAGCAGGAAGGGCTGGGGTTGGGGGGGGGGCTGCCCTGACTGCAGGCAGCTGGTCCTGCTTTGCCAGTTGCCTGGGACGGCTCTAGGTTCTGTCTTTTGGGAGAAGCCATGTCCTTCAGCACCCAGAAAACAGCTCTGTAAGATGAAAGTCTGGAAAAGACTGGGAAGTCCAACTTGTCATTTGAGAGAACAGTACTAGGGTGACGGCTACTGTAGATGATAGAGAGGGGACTCGGAGATAAGAGTCCTGCTCCTCCAGAGGACTGGAATGGGTTTGGTTCCCAGCACCCACATCAGCCAGCACACAGCCTGTAACCAAAGAATCTGGAGCCTCCTCTGGCTTCCAGCACTTGTGTGAATGTGAACTCCCCTCCACTCACAGACACACACACACATGCACGTGCACACCTACCACTCACAGACACACACACACACATGCACACCCTACCACTCGCACATTCACACACATGTGCACACCCTACCACACACAGACACACACACATACATGTGTACACCCTACCACACACAGACACACACATGTGCACACCCTACCACTCACACTTACACACACATGCACACCCTACCACACACAGACACTTACACACATGTGCACACCCTACCACTCACAGACACACACATGTCCACACCCTACCACTCACAGACACACTCACACATGCACACCCTACCACTCACACATTCACACACATGTGCACACCCTACCACACAGACACACACACATACATGTGCACACCCTACCACTCACAAACACACTCACACTCACATGCACACCCTACCACTCACAGACACACACACATGCATCCCCCACCACTCAGACACACTCACACACACACATGCACACCCTACTACTCAGACACACTCACACACACACATGCACACCCTACCACTCACAGACACTTACACACATGTGCACACCCTACCACTCACAGACACTTACACACATGTGCACACCCCACCACTCAGACACATTCACACACACATGCACACCCCACCACTCAGACACACTCTCACACACACGCACACCCTACCACTCATACACACTTGCATACACATAATTAAGAAACAGGAGCTGGAGAGACGGATCAGTGGTTGACTGCACTCACTGCTCTTGCAGAGAACCTGAGTTCTGCTCCCAGCAGCATCTCCACTGCACCTGTAACTGTAGCTGCACAGTCTCTAGTGCCCTCTTATGGCCTCTGCTGGAACTGCATTCATGTGGCTACATGCACCCATGTTCACATAACAGCACACATACACATTTTTATCATATATAAGTATGATATTTTACATGTATTGATCCTGGTGTGACCATGGCCAGAAGCTATCAAATGACAGAGATGTGCTCTGGGTGCTGTGCACTAAGGATTTTTTTTCATATGTTTTTATTTAACTGTTTATAAGTCACTCTCAGTTCCCTCTCCCTCAACCTCCCCCACCCCTGAATCCTCCCAACCTCTCACCCCGACTCCATCTCCCCTCTGCTCCCAAGGGAGGACAAGGGCCTGCATGAGGGATTTCAGAGTCTGTCATATCATCCTGGGAAGGGCCTAGGTTCTTCCCCTTGTGTCCAGGCTGAGAGGGCATCCCTCCATGTGGTATGAGTTCCCAGAGTCCATCTGTATGCCAGGAATAAATACTGCTCTGATTGCCAAGGCCTCCTCTCTGTCACGCAGGTTCGGTGGGAGGGATGTGTGGGAACACCAGACCTTGAGCAGAGACCCACTTCCCCTTCTGCCTGGGAGTAGGCAGCTGTAAGACAATGTTTAGTAAAAACATGTTTACTAAAAACGATACAATAAGTTCCTGGGAAAGGCCTTCCCATGGAAACCGCCCTGACCTCGACCTTGTCCAAAGACTAATCGCACCTTAAAAACCCACACACATCCACCTCTGGGGTCAGAGCAGAACCAGCCAGGGTAGAGGAGAGAGCAGAAGCTTCTCTGGTGGGAGCCATTCTTAGGAAGTTTTCTTGAGCCTTTTTGGGGCCTGCTTAAAGTTTTCTTTACATCATTGAACAAGTCTCTGTGTTGTCA